TTAAAAACTTGATTTTTTTTAAATCTAAATTTATTATAAAGATTATAAAAAATCATAAAACTGTTGTATGTACTCCTTGTATATATTACTTAATTCCAATGATATTTGGTTAAAACTAAATATTCAAATTATCTTCGAAAGGCTGTTATCTAAAATCACTAAATATACAGGTAAGCACATAAAAGATAAATTCTTTTTGTCTCTTTATAATATGTTCAAAACCTATTAAGATCAATAAAGAACAATTTAAATCATTTTTTTCTTACAATGAAAAAAATTTAATATAATACTACTTACATGATGAGATATAAAACATGAAAGTGGTCCTATTTCAGCAAACATTCCAACCTACAGAAGCAAAATATAAACAAAATATTAGGCTAGTTTATACTATGATTTAATAGTCAATTCTATATATATCAATATTTAAATAGAATGTTACACAAGTATCTTTATACAAGAAGCTAAGAACTTAATTACCTTATTTACTTGGGTAACAATTGCATCCAATACTTCTCCCTTAAATGGTCGGAATACAATAGCTTTATATTTTACTGGATAAATTACAAAGCCTTGTCCTGGTTGTATAATACCAGCTCCTATATTATCAATTGTTGTGACAGCAACAACAAAGCCATACTTTAACAATTGTATAATTAGAAACAAAACATGTGTCTCCAAAGTTTATACTCAATCCAAAATAAATACTCACTTTCCTGTGCAGGTTCCTTCTACTTCAGTGTAGAGTTTCTGTTTTACTGTGTCTAGCAATTGAGGACCAAAATAGCGCGGATGCAACAAAATCTCGTGCTCCAACGAAATCTGTTAGTTTATATTAAATAAGAAAAAATGTCTTGCGCATGCCTTTCAATTTCAATGATTATTTTCGATCATGTTAAATTATAATTTTATACTAATATTCAAATTTAAACGGTTTTAATATTTACGAAATTAAACAATGTTAATATTTGTTTTTACTTAAAATGAAAAAGCGTAAAAAATGACTTACATGATAAAACATGATGTTTATATATTAGTTGGAAAAAGTATCGTATTTACATTAGAGAAAGTATATAAATCAGATGATTTTGTAATAAAATCTACGTTATACGCGGTATAAACAGAGAGAAGCCTGATGGTAACTATTGATCTATTTTTTTAGCTGCATAGCTATATCTGTTTCTCAATTATGGCTGGGATAACCTTAAAGCCGACCGCACGAAACGGTGATATATGTTACAAGATAAGTTATATGATACAAGCGACGTGACACATACTTGTATCAACGTTAAACCTAACCTCGATTCCAAGTGAAATGTATTTTTATTTTCACCTGTACACTAAATTTGCAAAAGTGTTATCTGTTGTATAGACAATTTGTATGTATTATTAAACAAAAAAATACTTAAAGTAATAAATAAGTATGAATGATACAAAGACTAAATTAGCCCATGTATTACAGCTTCTAAATGAAGTTTTGATGGATTTAAATAATGTCCTGAAATTTTGTAGCGACATAAAATCCAAAAAATGGGAAAGTAGGCAGTGGTTTGTTCGTCCTATTAACAGCACACGAATAGAGAAAGGATTATTTTCAACCACCTTTCAAGAAATGAAAGAAGATCCAGATTTATTTTTTCAATATAGTAGAATGGATCTAGAAACGTTCACTTACTTGAAACACTTGTTAAAAAAATCTCTAAGAAAAAGAAAAAGAGTTGATGTTATTTCTGTAGAAGAACGACTTATATTAACAATCAGGTAAGACTGTATAAGTTAAATTTTTTATACAAACAAATAAAATTTTTTTCTATCAAAAACTTAGGTATAATTATAAAACTGTGTGTAGGTACTTAGCCTCTGGAGATGAAATCATTTCTCTTGCCATTCAACACAGGATAGGAGAATCAACTGCT